GCTTAAAGTTACCATTTTACTTTGTAATGCATATTCCTGAATATATTGTCATCCTTAACTTTATTAGGAAAACCTAAAACTGTCTTCATTATCAACTGAATTCTCTGTAACACCAAAAAACACCTGTGATGGAGAAATGGGATTGGAAAGGAAAAAAAGACTAACTTGGATCGGTAAGCTAGTGGTACAGTCACAACAGGCATGTTGCCTTGTTGTTTTGAGTACAATGTGTTTTCTAGTAGCAGCTCCACTGCTGGACATAGGCAGATATCTTCGAAGAATTAATAAATAAATCTCCTGAAATTTTTATATGTTTTATTTAGCATACCAGAAAAAATGTTCATTTGTTTTAACATTTCAATAGAGTAACAGAAAGATGATTCAATTGTAGATTTCAATTTTTTATGGACAGAAAAGGTGTTTTATTTAATTGAGATAGGGAAGTCTCCAATATAGAATATAAACTTCTTAATATTTTATCAGTACTTACTTGTTTACTTTAGAGCTATTAACAAAATTATCTCTCTTCCTTTTATTTTAAAATACATGTCTCTTTGATTAGGTCTTGTCCAAGTGGATTTTACAGGGAAACGTATTAACTCTATTGAAGATTTAACAATATGGTATAATAAAATATTATAGATTTCTCTTATAAAGAGAGATTGTACAAAAGGATTATTGTGTCTTTTAAACCTACTGCATGCATCTTGAACCAATGGATAAAGCTATTAGCAAATTTATTTTATCATCTTAAGAACTGTGCTTTAATTGCAACACTGAGAGTTGTTTTTCTAATATAATTTCTCCACTTTAAAACCAAATTTAATCATTGCTGTTTAAAGATGGAAAAGTTGGGGAGGTGGAGTTCCTAATTGCTAATAGCTGATATCAGTAGGAACTTCACTAATTTAGAAGTGCCTCTTTTGTTTCAATAGGTTTATTGCAGCAAACAGTGTTTAAAATGATTCACCTGTAATTATTTTTGTTAAAAGAAGAAAATGTTTTTGCTACTCTGCAGTGATTTTCAAAACAAAGTGCACGTGCATCATCAGTATTTAGGACTGTAGTTTTAATTGCATAGAGGCAAAGAGCAGTAAGAATTCAGTAGGCACACCTTCAAGTTCTTACATTTTTCTCTTACGCAGCAGATATTGGTCACTAAATTAAGGTTTTAGATATGTATTAGAGATGAAGTCCCATAGTCCTTGCACTTAAGGAGTGTTGATCATTGACTTTGAAGGATTTTTTTCCAGTAGAATGTAGCAGCACTCTCTGGTCCTTCTGGTTTATTATCATAATGTTATCACACTGAAGCTTGCTTTTTAAATCTGAGTGTTGCCTGAGCTGTTTAAATTTAGTTACTTTACAGAAACACAGCAGTATTCTTCAGTCTTTTTCCTTTGCATAAAAGCATAGTTTAGCCCAGATAATTTCTAAATGAGTCATGGTGTAACAGCTGGACTCTTGATGTTGCTACCTCTGTATTTTGGCCAACATTTTAAAAATGGGTGCCTCAGCTTTGATCTGTGATATTTCAACTTGAAGCACCTTTTTAAAAAATTTTGACAAATGTCTAGAACTTCTATCCTTTAAAAAATTCAGCAATGGCTGAAACTATGTTAGATATTTCATTATAATCATTCTTCCCGTAGGTAACTATTGGAGTACAACAATTTTATCTGCTCTTCACAGCAATGAATGATCAGTAAATTGTTTTAGTCCAGTAACTGGATGTCGTATTTACTGCAAACACAGACTAACAATATCTATACAATGCTTGTAATAGCTGTTAATTAGTAAGCCTTTATAAAGTGTTGTGTGTGTGAAATACTAAAATTGACGTACTTTAACTTTTAATGTTTAGGAGGAATGGAAAAGAAACTGAACAGTGTACTTTTCTCCTGGTGCAGAGAATTTCTTTAAATTAAATGTTACCTTCAGTGCAAGTCTGTGATCACTTAAGAGTTACATCCACAATATAAATTTCCACCTAAAGGTCCAGTTTCTCCCATCTTTCTTACTGAAAAAATGGGAAACTTACCTCTGTTTTCTCTTCTAAACGCATTGAAGTTCCTAAGTCTGTTTTTGAAGTTTTTAGTGTTATGGAAAAACCTGTTGCAGACTTCTCTCTGATACTAATCCATTTTCAAATCAGTTGAACAGACTAATGAGAGAGGGTGGGTTTTTACTGTTTCGTATTCTGCAAGCTTACAGTCTTGTAGTATCTAAAAAACTAAAATAACCACTGTAAATGTTAGAGAGATGAAGTAGAAAATGAAAGTGTCTGTAATCTTACCAAACCAGTTCAGCAAGCTAAAACTGATGGAAATCAGCACTGATAAAGAAAACAGTCATTGTGACTTACAATGTGTTAGTCCATAGTTACTGTTACAAATAAATTTAGATTCAAGCTTTTCCAGAAATGGACTGTTGCAAATTTGAAGTGAGGACCATTGGCAAAGCTTGCAAATAAAACTACTACTTTAAAAAACATTTGAATATGCAGAGAAACTAGAAATCTCTCAGAGAAAAAAGTCAAAAGCAAATTGACCCATTAGGTAAAGAAAAGGTGAACCAATTACATCCACGTTAAGAGCTTGTTTCAGCCAGTCATATTGCTGGAGTTTTACATTACGAAGATCAATCAAATAAATTGCAAAATCAGAACAGTAACCCAAGATTGTACAGGTTTATAAGTTTAATTACTCTGAACTCCTGCTTTTATAGGACTTTAATAAAGAATCTCTGAATCAGATCCAACCTTACATGACGTCGCTCCAGAATTTTGTAATAACATCTGATCAGAATTTAAAGATTCAAGTATGGAAAACCACCACATCTTTAGGCAAGTTTCTCCAACGGTCTGCTTGTCATTGCAGAGTTTTTAATTTTGTTTATGAGGTTATTGTGGAAGGCGATAATGGCTCTTGGTCATCTTTTGGTGTATATTTTACATGCCTTTTTGCTGGTATGAATTCGTGTATCATTTGTCTTCCCCCTGGTGAAACCATCCTGACCGCTCCTGATGATTTTCTTGTCCTTCATGTGCCTGGAACTGGTTTCCAGGATTAGCTGCTCCGTCATCTTCCCAGGGAACAAGGTGAGGCTGACGGGTCTGTAGTTCCCTGGGTCCTCCTTCTTAACCTTCTTGAAGATAGAAATGATATTTGCTTTCCATCAATCTTTGGACATTCTCCCAGTCGCCATGATTGATGAAATACTATTGAGAGTGGCTTTGCAATGACATCCGCCAGCTCCCTCAACATTCATGGATGCATCCCATTCAGGGCCCATGGATTTATATGTGTCCAGTTTGCTTAAGTATTCTATGACCTCATCCTCTTCCAGCAAGAGTTCATCTTCCTTGCTCCAACCTTTTCCTCTGTCTTGCTGGTAAAGACTGAGGCAAAGAAGGCATTCGGTACTTCAGGCTTTTCCATGTCCTGTCTAACCAGGTACCCCGGTTATAGAGTAGAGTAGAAATGTTAAATAGAGTTTTAAAATCAGGGTAGGTTTTAGTGAGTATGGTTACCTTACAGTCTTCTTTGTAAAAGTTTTTTTAAAAGAAAGTTCATTATCATTGGTGTTTATGCTATAGCAGGGTGAAGTGACAGGGGAAATCTACACTTTGGAACAGCTGCATGAAGGAGCAAAATACATGACTCTTGTCAGCATTAAGTGGATTCTGATAAACTCACATGAAACAACTTCCAGAACTAATTCAGAAGAAATTGAAAGTACAACTATCAACACTTAAAACAATACAACAAGCTAGAACTACATCGGGGACCAAAACCATAGCAAGAACATGAAGGAAAATGATCTTGCCTCTAGCAGGGGCACCTCCACTTCTGGTGAACATATCCAAGCCACCCAAGCGGTGACTCAGTAGGTGACAGTGGCAGCCACGGAAATTCTGAAGCCAAGGGCAGCACCAATGCCAAAACAGATGCCTAAAGTTAGTTAAGAACTGGAACAGAAACTTACCCAAAGCAGGCTAATAGAGTCAATAGTTGTATTGTAGAACATTTCTAAAAATATTGAACACTACTGCTATGAGATGCAATGGCACCTTTTTCATTAAGCACATTCCTGCAAGTGAGTGTTACAATTGGTCCAGCTTAAGACGGTGGTAAGTGCTTTTGTAAAGAAGGGTAAATTACACTCAGAAAGGGGAGATAATTATTAGGAATTCATTTTTTAGAAAGAAAAACCTTTTTTAGTAAGGAAATGCTTAGTCTTCCAAAAATGGAAAGAATTTTTCTTAAATGCAAAACTGAGTAATCTTTGCCAGTAATCTTAAAGAAACCAAATGGAAAAGGATATAATCCACATAGCAATTAGATGCTCATGTCATTTATTTGTAAAAATAAAATTAAAGGTATATATTTTAAAGAGATATGCTAGTCTGTGTTTGATAAGGTAATTACTATAAAAAATTTTCAGGATATGAAGAGCAGCAGGAAGTTTCAATAGGACAAATAAAAACCTTTTTCCCCAGCGGAAAGAAGGCAACAAAGTAAACTATGTACAGTATTCTTGTTCATTGCTTAGCCTAAATTTGAGTAGATTTATATTAATACATGAGTGTTTATTATCATTATTATTTAATTTTAAATACTTTTTTTCTGACAGGAAAACCTGTGGTAGCGTTTGAAACCCATACAATCCATAATGTAAATGTGTAGTTTCATTTTTATTTGAATTGCTTTCAGACACCATAATTTTTGTCTTTGCATGAGGCCCCAGTGTCTAAGTTGTGGAACAGAAAGCCTGTGGATCTTATCATAAAGTTGAGGGGTTTTTTAATATAACTGTGTAAAACTTAAAAGATGAAGATATGACCACAAACCAAACAGAATTTGAACCAGAAAAAAACCCACAACACTCTACCTTGTATCCACCCAGCAGTAGAACCATGATTCGTGCATTTGGTGCAAGGTTCCACCAAATCTTGCGGCAGCCAGTACAGGAGAAGCTGGGTGAAACAAACACCCGACATGGGAATGCAGGACAGGACAATCCCAGCTAAATCACCGTCACACCAAAGCGTGTATGTTGTTCTCTGGCAGAATAGTAGTCCACGTACAAACCTGAAATTACTTAAACAGATGAGGCACACACAAAAGAAGAATCTTTTTAATATACTTTCTATTATCTGTAAGTCTAAGGAGAAGCTGAATTATTTGTTAGATGCTGGCACACACTTTTTCCCTCCTTATCACACATACTTTTGTACAATCAGCATACACTGCTGGAGACAATGTGGTAAAAATCTATGATATTTAAATGTTTTACAACCTATGGAAAATCTGATCATCTTGTCTGCCTTCTCAAATGACAAAGGCCACATAATTTTATCTAATAAATCCAGAATTAACATTTGAATTTATGGTTGAAGTAAACACATCTTCTAGCAAGATGGCTGTTTTCATTCCCTTCACAAGTTAAGTAGATTAAGGCAAAAAATGGAACATATGCTGTAACAATATCTCACTGTACATCCTTTATGGGTGGTGTGCATATGAGGGTGTGCTGTGTGTAAAATTCTCACTGTTTAGATTGAACACATCAGAAGTTTCTGTAAATCCCTGAAAGTCTGGTGAACTTCCCGCAGAAGTTCTTACACCAGTTCTTTGGCTTTATTGGGATTTCACATGCTTTGTTCTTTCCTGACAAAATACTGGATTTTAATAAGATTTTGTTTATTTTAGAAAAAATTGTTGCACTCCAGCATTTTTGCCTTTCTTCTCATCTGTGATCATTCAGAGCTTTTCATGCACCATGAGCAGTACTGCCCTTCCACAAGACCCTTGTAGAAAAGTAGCTGAAAGAGTAAGTTGTGATTATACTTTGGGCATGTTTCCTTCACTCTTGTATCGTTTGAAGGTTTTATTAATCTCTTTAGGACATTCCGTACAAAATCCCTGAACTGTATAAAGCCACGGGAGTCTTAATAAAAACAAGATTTATTAAGAAAGGAGTCAGAACACTGGAAAAATGGACTATGTAGCAGGTCTAAGCTGAAATGTTGCTAAAGCTTGTCTTAATTGGTCTCCTTCGTGTCATTAGAAGAAAGTAAACTACCTTACACATCCTCTGATGGAACTTGCCTATCTCCTCTCTGACTGCCTCTGGCAACTACCAAATCCGGGAGTTTCTGGTGTCAGATGTCTTCTTCTGAGGGTGCTTTTGCTGTGCATTTACAGCTGGCTTTGCTCTTCTTGCTCATCCAAGCGAGTGTTGACAAGCACTGCTGGGGAAGCAGTAGCCCCCGTGTTAGCCCTGCCTGCTGCTGGATCTCTCTACAGAAGGACGGCCACGGAGATGGGCAGCCGCCTTCAACTGCAGCCCACCCAGTGTCCGGAGGTCAGAAACATAGACATCTGAAATCGGCGTGCAGGCATCACGTATGCCCAGAGTAGTGCTTACTGGCTGGCATTGAACTATTTAATTTTTTATCTTCTGTGTAGCTTTAAGTTCTTTTGAAAGTGTTATACAAATGTCGTTCCTCATCCTTTTTCCGTATCTTATTTTTGAACAAGCAGATCACAGCTGAAGTCTGTCTAGCCTTTCTCCTAAATTATTGACCATGACTTTACATAGTAAATTGCACTGGCTACAAATGTTTGCTTGAACATAATTCATGACAGAGTTTAAAGAGACAGAGCTTACATATCATTTTCTCAGTCAGTAAACAACTGATGTTAATTTTGGCATTTCTCAGCTTCCGAGTGCTTAGTTTTGATAAGATGGTGTTCTTTTCAATAGTTACAGTCCATTTAAATAATTTTCTTATTTTTAAGAAAGCAGCAAAACTTGCACTGAAAATGAAATTACATCCTGCAAAATTTTCCCTTTCTCTAGAAGACTCCCACTAGAGAATCTTGCAAACATTGGAAACTAGATGAACAGCATCCTCCGCCGTCACTTCGGCTAAGTGGCACTAGGCAGCACATTGCATTGCAGGTGGACGATACGCACCTTTGCCGTTTCCCATGCAGGAAGGAGGGTGCAGCTGGGGTGAAGGACAGGATGGCAGATGCACCATTGGGTTGGTTGTAAGATTTAGGAAGAAAAAGAATGTACTCTGTGGAAATCTGCGCTCTGCTGTGTTTAGCTCGCCCAAGGAATTATCAAATGTGGGCTTTTTTTTTTTAATATACACAACAAAAAGGAAATACCAGAGACCTTGTTGTTTTCGTTCTAGACCTTCTTAATGAAATACTTGGGGAAAAAATAAGCATGAGCAGAATTTTTTTAACCTTGTTCTAATGGATAGTATCAATAAATTAAAAAAATCAAGCCTTGAGCAGATGCTTGGAGTGGAAATCTGCTCCAAAAGTATAAATGGCTGAAACCAGACTCTTACAGTAGAATTTTTAGGCAACTTGTTGACAAGTTGTAGGTCCTAGATTTAGTCATTTAGAAGTAGCTTCAGAGTCACGCTTTCCCTTTCCTGACATTATGGTTTTCTAATTCTTTCTGATTTCATTGTGTTGTTTTGTCCTCATAAACACTCGTAAAGTGTTTGTTTCGCCTCATCTGTAACCATTTCTTAGGCTTATTTTGTATTTTTAAAAGAATTCTGTGCTTTCCAAGAAGACAGAGAAGATAATCAGCTAAATATATCTAACACATAACATAAGTTAGTTTTATTGATGCTTGGGTAATTGTCCTGTAAATCTCAGTCAAAATGGTTGTGGTTTTAGTTAAAACTGGTAAGGCTGGATCATTGCCTTATTTAATGGCATAGTTTTCTCCTGCTTTCCCTATATTCTAAGGTCATTAATGAATCATTATCTATTGCTAGTAATTACTGATCTCTTGAGAATATTGGTTTAATTATATAGGAATCATAAGTGGAAGATACAGTTACATATTCTTCAATGTAGGTAGTAGTATCTTGGTGTATTATGGCTTTAAAGAATCTGGGGTTTTTTTTGTAGATTTTAATTGCTAAGTGTGCCTGGTAAACTATGAATTATTGTATTACTGCATGTGATAAAAGGTATACTATTGTGAGCCTCACAGTCTGCAGGTGTAACAGATGTAAGCCGAGATTAACAGGACAGAACAATAATTAAACCACAGCCAGCCATCTCAAAAGAAAAAAAAAGGGTTTATCGTGTCCAATGCGATTATTAAGTGTGTCTTAAATTCTCTGCCAATATTTGTAAAAGCAATAAAAACATATTAGTTTGAAAGACAGCTTTTCAGTGAGGACGCTTACTTTAAGGAATTGAGGTCCTTTTTTATGAACATAAAAGCTGAGTGAAGTCCTGCCATATGGCAGCATGGTTCATAGGCAATAGGGTCCTTGTTTTATAGATGCTATGAGCTAAATGCTGCCGAAGAAAATAAGAGAGCAGTGAGTATATATGCATTTACAACAGTATGAATTGCTTACTCCCTTTAAGACAGGAAGGTTAAATAATTAACAGTAATATTATGGTTGCAAAAGGAAGTCCAGTTGTTCTTCAGCAGTCTACATCTGTGAAACATGATACCTCTGGGGACTGAGATTTAATTTTCCCGTGAGAAAATATAAAAGCAGGAGAAAAAAAGGAATGACTTCTGCTTGAGCAGAATAAACCTGCATCTACAAATGATTAACACTGCATAATGAAGTAGTAAAGAAGCAAAAGAGATTTCTAATAAAAGACTAATAACAAATCCCATTACACCATGGTGTATTTTTTCCCTTGAAGTGTATTAGACTTTTAGCAAGGCTTCTGAATGAGATTTGGGTAGTAGCACGCAAAGTCAGCTCAAATGCTTCAAGCTTAGCTGAAATTTCTCGCCTAACAGTTTGCGTAACTTGAAAGTTGTGGTTTTACAGGTGGGAAGGCTTGTTAATGCAAGTAATAGGCTTCACACTGAGTTTGGGTAATGTTTGTGTCACCGTAGGGTAATAGTCTCCTGTAGGCTAGGCACTGCAGAGTAATGTGCCACTATATGGTAAAATCCCTTAGCTAGAACAGACGTGGTATTAAATGCACTAGCTAAGCCTTGCTTTTGTGTTGACAGTTCTCTTTCTGAGGCCTGAAAATAAGTCCTTGTAGGAAAAAGGTTTGATCAGAGAGGGAAATACACAGAGTTCATGTTTTGTCATAGCTAATATTGTGACTTTTGTAATTACTACGCTAACATAAAAAGTTACAAGACCTTAGAGCATAAATGTTTGATATAAGGATGAGATGATGCAGTCTTTTGGAATAGCGTATTTTCGCTTTTAAAAGGGAACATGTCTGGCAATGGAAAAAAATCTGTGTAGTGGTCTCTAAATCTGTACATGGATGTTTTTGCAGATTATACATATGGTTCCAGTGGCAGGGGGAATAAAAGTTTAGTGAACAAAACCTTGACTCACAAAACAGTCCCTTTGAATTTCTTTTATAAGAGAGAGTCTTTTTGTACAGATTGTTGCTCTCTTAAAAGCTTGTGCTCAACTGACATGTTGGAATTAATTTGTCTAGAAATGAACTTTTATTACTGGAATCAGGAAAAAAAACCAGATGTGTTCATCAGTGAGTTCTGGAACAAAAGTGGTTAAACATGAATTCTTGTAAGTGAAACTAATCTTGATGAAATTTCTAGTTGCCTTTTTGGAAATTTTTGTGAGTTTTAAAGAATGACTTAATTTGCTTAGCAGAAATTTGCAATCAATCTTTTCTTGCCACTGAATAAACAGATTCCACATGCGTAGTAATTTGCATATCCCAGCTAAAAATGTAATTCATTATTTTTAAGTCCATTTCATAATAACTATTTCAGGATTAAGCTACTAGCTATTCTTTAGCTCTTTCAAATGTGACCTTAGATAATCCTACCTAAAAAGGTACAAAGCTAACGGGCTTGTTCTGGAATAGGAACGGAAAGTGCCTTTCCTGAGGTCAGCAAGTAAGTCAGTGTAAGGGCCAGAACTGGAAATAATAAATCTTGAGAAAAAATTTTCTTCTACTGCATCTCAAGCCTCCAGCCTCATGCAAATATTGCATTCAATAAGACTGATTTTCACATTTTGCTAGGTTCGAAAACAGCACAGATATGAACAGGAATTAACAGTATAGTCTACATGCAGATTATCACTAAATCTGGTAAAGATTTAAATTAGATTTAATCAAAATGGCATCTGTACTGTATTTTGCGTGGAGCTGCAAACATTGTTATCAATAACAGGGAGGAAGCCTCTTGAAAGTAAGTGTGACCCGGTCCATTTTAACTGCTGCTTGGCATCTGCCTCTGGACTGGCTTTCACTTGACTGGGCTTTTCAGGGCTTCTCATAAACCACTGGCTTCACCCTCCTGTTTTTGCTATTCCAGGCTATTCTTGCGTAACATTTTCTCCCTTTCGTCTTAGATGACTATCACATTAAATACTCAAAAATATGGTGTATGGGATTGATATGTTTTGTCCTTTGAGGTTCACCCACATAATGATATTAGTCAGTTAAGCTTCAACAGTCTGTAATGTATCACTTCTTTAATGTAGATGCAGTAACATTTCCACAAATAGAATTAGTTAAGTGGTTATCACAGATCTTCACGCCTTCCAGAATTTTCTGGTATAATGTTTTGGATTGTAGTTGACCCTGGGATATGTATCCTGACTTTACCATACTTCGCAAAACGGAGAAATACAAACAACATCTTTTCCTTTTTTTTCAGGCGATGGGTAAGGCTCCTGTTTGGACGTGAATTCCCACTTCAGGACCTTCTGGTTGTCTGGGATGCCCTGTTTGCTGACAGTATCACCCTGAATTTAGTTGACTACATTTTTGTAGCCATGTTGTTATATATTAGAGATGCCTGTAAGTATCAACTATCTTACGATCTTTTAAAAAGAATGTAAACCTATTTTTCAAAGAAAAGGAGGACTTAAGAAATGCTAAATTTCATTGTGACTTTTTTAACATGCTGAAAATCATTCCAAATGCTAGGAGAGGAGCCATTTCTTATCAGACATGGTTTGCTGTATTTATGAAATAAATTGTATCTTGGAGTTAAACGCAGGTTTGTTTTCTGAGTAGTTCCGTGTTTTTATATGGAGTTGCAGATTTGATGTGCAGTAAGTGACACAGGTATGTATAGAGCTCCACCTTCTGCCCAAGCTGATGAATTGAGTGAAGCCTCCCTTTGAAACTGGAAATATTTTTATGCTGTTCTGCTGTGAGAAATGTGAAAATGCACAAGACAATGACTCATAATTTTTTAAGATATATCTTGAAGGAAATGTAAATGCAGAGAAATTACAAAATATTTTTATTCTATGCAAGAGTGGCATCTTGAAAAAATTAAAATTTCATTTTATTTTATTTTGGTACTCCTGAAGTATGTGCAAAGGTGAATTCTTACGGGTTAGTGATGACCAATAAGTACGTTAAGTTGGGACAAACAAGAAATCACAAGAATGTTGTTAGCTTATATAATTGTGAATGGGAGGAGGAAGATACGTAATGATTAATTGAGGTGTTTATTTCTGTCCCATCATATTTTGCAAAAAATTCTGTATACAACTTTGCTGCAACAAAGTATGCATTTTACAGCAAGATGCATGTCTGTCATTAAATATATGAATTCCATAGCATGCTGTTGAGAGTTAAGTATATATAATATGTAAGCTTTAAGCTATGAAAAGGTCACATGTTTGCCACAATCTTGTGTTCCAGGACATAGGAAGTTTTCAACATCTGTGGTTCCTATTTTAGAGCCCAATCTTGAAAATATAATGTGCATGTGCTTTACGTGTACTGTCATTCCACTGCCTGCCTTCATGTGATTTTTTAATTACTTTTTAATAAACACACAGCATATAGGGCTACCTTACATTCCTCTCAAAGAGGTGGATATTTAATTCAGTTTAGAGGTTTCAAAATTAATGCTGCTGTTTCAGGATGATCTGATTCCAGGTCATTATGTTCTGCAATCTAAATGTGCAGTAAACTGAAATAATCTGAAAATTTTTGATACAGATATGTAGTGCAGATAAATGTAAAAATGTTTCTTAAGATCAGTATTTTATTTTGTGTCATTGTTTCCTTTTCAAAATAGCTTTAGAACTGTGTTTGTAAGCACCCTCTCTCTTCTTGGGGAGGGAAGATTTTTCTGGATTTGTTTTCTTTTGCTTTGTGGTGCTTATGTACAAGTATTGGTATAAGGTAACTAAAAATGTGAACTATAAATGTATTCTAGGCATCTGTATGAAATCAGTCTCCCTCTTTTCTCTGAAATCCCCAGGCTTAGTAAATAGAGTAGTAAATAGCTTTAAAGTTGAGTACATTTGCCCACATGAGATACAACATCATCTCATCAGGACAGCTAATACTTCATATGTATACTGTTTCTGTAATAAGTAACTTTTTGTTCTACAGTTGGACCTAGTTAGTTAAACTCTCTAAGCATAGTAGAATGGTGAAACAAAATACCCCATCACAAATACTGTAAAGTTGAATATATTTTCCAAGTCAAGCTCAAACTATAGCGATTTCCACAGTTCTTGATTTGATAAAAGAAAGCTTTTCTTATATATCTGCAATAAAAAAGTTTTCCATTTTTCCTGATTTTTTTATTACTGATAATATTTGAGCTTTGAATGGAGTTCAAAGTTCTGTTGTAGTATTTTTAAAAACATTTTCAAATAAAATAAGTTTCTAAAAGCTTATCTTTATTTGGTGAAAGGAAATGCTATCTCAAAATATCCAGTGATGTTAATCATCTATAAATGAACCATCTGGAAATTTTCAGTTTAAAATCTTTGAAACAATAGGAATAATAATAGAGCTCCTAGGTTATTATGTTATAAAAATCTCAAATATAAGCAATGGTAATAATACAGTACTGAAAGCATTTGAAAGTTTAAAAATCATACAGATTCTTTTATACCAACATTATGATGTTCTCAAGGGCATGATTTTAGGAAAGTATTTTTATTTTTAGTTTTGAAATCCTCTGTTACTCAAACAGTATATGATTCAAGGAGAAGGTAGCACTTAAATTATTAGATTATTGTTTATACATTTTAGAGATTACAGATACGTAATCATGTACACAGCCATTCTGTAAACTGCTCTGTTCAGTTTTACATCTGTATCCAAGCAGAGGTTTATCCATGGAGTGATAATCCTCACAAGCTGAGTGTAGAGTTGTGTACCAATTATTTTCTGGGTTTCTTTGGAAAAATTCATGCAAAACAACCTTTTTTTAAAAAAAAAAATCTGTCAAATCAGAAACATAAATATGTTACTTCTTTTTTAGCAATATGGATGCATATGGAGTTGTTAATGAAATCAGAATGGAAGGGAAGGTGCAGTGCAAAAATATATTATTTTATATACTTCTCTTCCCTTCAAGAAGGACGAAAATGAACAAACCTGGAAGACTGGTCTATATTTTGCGTAATAAAGTAACATCGTTACCGCATCAGGAGCTAATTTTGATTGATCAGTGTTAGATTAAGTATATTTTTATCACGTTCCCACTTGAAGACTAGCTGTGGCCATTGTTAGGATATATTTTTTCTTGTCTAAAAACACTCTAAATATTTTAAGGGACATAAAGGAGCCACAAGCTCTTATTAGAGGAGCTGATTTGTTATTTTTATTATAGTGCAAGATGTTTGTAATATCTATGTTTAACTCAGTTTAGGGCCTACTAAAGAGAACATAGCCATGTGTAAAGGAGCAGGAGGAAATAGTCCCACTTTTCCTGGGTTAGGAAGTCATGTGGGTACAGTATTGCTGGCATCAAACATTAAACTCTTAAGAAATTACATGTGGCGGAAAATTAGGACTTTGTTGAGGTCAGGTACAGTTAGTTTACATGTTTTCCACCACTATTATTGCTGCTTACATCGGGGAATGGCTATTGGACCAACAGAGAAAAGTCAGTCTCATCTAAAGCAGAAGGGAGAAAGCAATTTGATGTTCTTCTGAGCACTTCATAAGAAATATTAATCAAAAGGCAGTAAGATTGCTTTCTCTATGTAGAGGAGTTTCTCTACTCCTTTCCATAGAAATACCAGTAGCATTCTTCTTTGGAGAAGTGAAAACTTGTTGTTCACAATAAAAGTTGGATCCAGATGTGACTCTTGCCAAGCTAATTAGTGAAGTGAAAGCAGAGGTACAGAAGCACCAAGCTTATTACAAGGCAGCTGGCCACAGTGTAAGATATTTCACCATTGAACTTCAGCACCATCCAGCTACTGCTGAGACTGGATAAATTTGTATTGCACAGAATCTCCTTCCAGAAACTTTATCCTACGGTTGAGTCTTAGAAATCCTTTTAACTCTGATATGCATATTCAGAGAAGGGAAGTTTTTTTGTTTTACTGCTATTTTCTCTATCATTTTTAAGAAAACTGCCACTGTTGGATAATACTATACATTTTATCCTGAAGAGACAAGAATGATAGAAAGCTTTGGGTTAGAAGGGACCTTAAAGATCATCTCGTTCCAACCCCCCTGCCAGGCAGGGACACCTTCCACCAGACCAGGTTGCTCAAAGCCCCATCCGACCTGGCCTTGAACACTTCCAGGGGTGGGGCATCCACAACTTCTCTGGGCAACCTGTGCCACTGCCTCACCACCCTCACCGGGAAGAATTTCTTCCTAATACCTAATCTAAATTCACCTTGTTCCAGTTTAAAGCCATTGCCCCTTGTCCTGTCACTACAGGCCCTTGTAAAAAGTCCCTCCCCAGCTTTCATGTAGGCCCCTTTAGGTACTGGAAGGCTGCTCTAAGGTCTGCCCGGAGCCTTCTCTTCTCCAGGCTGAACAACCCCAACTCTCTCAGCCTGTCTTCAGAGGAGAAGCGCTCCAGCCCTCAGACCATCTTCCTGGCCTCCTCTGAACTCACTCCAACAGGTCCATGTCCTTCTTCTGTTGGGGGCCCCAGAGCTGAAGGCAGTACTGCAGGGGGGGGTCTCACCAGAGCGGAGCAGAGGGGGAGAATCCCCTCCCTCGACCTGCTGGCCACGCTGCTTGTGATGCAGCCCAGGGTATGGTTGGCTTTCTGGGCTGCCAGGGCACGTTGCCGGCTCATGGGCAGCATACAAATCACTCAGAGACAAAGGATGCCGAGAGATGTTTCAGCAAAGTGATCTCTTTAACCTAAGGTACCTCAGCAAATACAGCACTGGTGACAATGTTCTCTTCTGTAAAGATTTCTACATGAGGAGGGGACAGCTGAATATGTGGCAAAAACCCTAAAGATAAAATAAATATAAAAGTTAGCCAGCCTTCCACATTAGAGTGTTGGAGTTTTTTTAACTTTCTTTGGATGGTAAGGTTTCATTTTAAAATTTTAACTTTTAGGGATCAGAGGGGACACAGGTCATTGCCCAACAGTTTGATTTTTTTTCCTATATTCAATTGCTTCACTATTATACATTTTTTAAAATTACTAATTAGAGTAAATGTCTTGTGGTTGAAAATAAAATTTTTTTTGTCACCATTAAAATAAATAAGCTTTTTTAGTATTTACTTTTCTCTGTATCTGTGAGACAGCAAAAAACTCTGCCAGGAAAAATAAAGGATATTTTTAATCCATTTTACATTGCAGAATGAAACACATACTGATCTATTCAAACAAGAAATGCATTGGTCTTACTGCCTAGCGTTTATAAAAGTATTTAGAATTTACTATCAATTTTCACTATTTTTATTTGCTTTGGTAAAAAGGCATCATGATCATAACTGCAGTACAGTATCTTAAATTTGATTTACGTATGAGAGTTTCATTGGGTATGTACTATGTGGTGCTCGTATTATATTCCTCTGAAAGAACTCTGACGGAGACCATTGTATTGTATTCATTATGCCAGCTTTGTGACTTCAAGAAGAAAAAACAGGTACCTGAATATGAACAAGAAAAACAAAGGGTAGGAAAAAGAACAGGCAGAACAGATAAAGAATGAGTAGGATAAGTGAGTGCTTTACAAATGAAAGCAGATGTATGAAATTACAAGCTGTCGGATCAGCAACGGAAATGAAGATGATAAAGGGGTGCCCTACCCCG